GTCTAATTGTCAAATAACTTTTCATTCTGTGCTTCTCTCTCTTTTTAAAATATATATTTTTTATTTACTATTTTCATTTTATGTGTTTGAGTACTTTGTGTGTAAGTACACCCATGTCATGCAATGCCCTCCAAGTCCGAAGAGGGTGTCAGATTCCCCTGGAACTGGAGTTGAGGATGGTTGTTAGCCACCTCATGGGTGATGGAAACTGAACCCAGGTCCTCGGCAAGAACAACCGATGCTCCTAAGCTCTGAGCCATCTTTCTACTCCCTTTCAGTGGTAATTTCTGGTCCTAGAGCTGGAGCCTAGAGTTCTATGCACAGTAGGCAAATGTCCTACCACTTAATGCCAATCTTTAAACATTTTTCAATTAAAGAAACTTTCTGGACTGGAGATAGGGCTCAGCAGTTAAGAGCACTGACTGCTGTTGCAGAGGACCCAGGTTCAATTCCCAGCACCCACATGGTGGCTAACAACCATCCTAACTCCAGTTCCAGGAGAATTTGATGCTCTCTTCTGACCTCCATGGGCACTGTAAGACATGGGTGCACTTACATATATATTCAGGCAATACACTCATACACATAAATTTTTTTTTGGACAGGGGGTCTTCCTAAGTCCCCCAAGTTTCCCAGACTCTCCTTAAACTCACAGTCCTCCTGCTTCAATCTCCCTGGTAGATGTGATGACTGAATTCCTGCCCTATCAGGTCAGCCGTGTTGTGTATTTTCAAGGCCCGTTGGGTGAGAAATAAGATATTTTTCTGTGTTTGTGTCTCACATTGAAGTTGTTGTTCATAGATATTCAATACATTCTCTTGTTGGAAAAAGGAATGTGTGCTAGTCAGCAGACATGTGGGAAAAATAATGTTAGTTGAGGCAGACCAAAGTATAAAAGTGGATATGACTCTGCATGTCAGAGGGACTTTGAGCCTGAAAACAAATAGCAGCTCCAAGAACATGGGAACAGCCTGTCTTCTCAGCACACTGACCTGCAAGTAATAAAATCTTTGGACAACAAGGGCATCATAACAAAGGAAGAAAGCTGCTGAACACAGAAATAATCCCTTCTTTACTGGTTTCGGACTTTGCAGATGTATAAATAGACATGTTAATTTTTTAAGTATCTGGAACCAATCTGGTTTTACAAAACATAAAAACTGTGAATTAACAAATGTAGCCATAAAACAGAAATCAGAGTCCCAGAATAGCTCACATCAGGAGCTCAACTTGTTTAGACTTTAGCTTGGCCCCAAAGCGTTTCTCTAAAGGCTCTTTTCTCTGTCATTAAGGTTGTTTCCCTCCCTCCCTCCCTCCCTCCCTCCGTCCCTCCGTCCTTCCATCCCTCCCTCCCCGTCCCTTATTCCCTCCTCCCTCCCTCTCTCCCTCCCTTCCCTCCTCCCTTTCTCCCTCCCCTCCTCCTTTCCTACTTCCCTCCCCTCCCTTCCCCCTTCTCCCTCCCTCCCTCTGTCCCTTCTTCCGCTCTTCCCTTTCTTCCTCCTTCTTCCCATCATTCGCCCCTCCTCCCTTCTGTCTCATTCCCTCTCAAGTCAAGCCAGTGTATATCTGACAATCTGTCAGGAAGGTGAGCATTGGCACCATTCATAAAAATGCTTAATTCGCCTCGGCATATAATGACAGGCAGGGGCTGGGACAGCTGCCTTTGCTCTGTCCTGACTCTGAATCTCGGGGTTTTATACTTCAGCTTTCTCCATAAACACACTCCTGCGGCCTTATGGATAGTTGCCAAAGACGTGTTTCACTGGGCATTTTCCACTGGCTTCTCTGCTGTGGGTATCTCTTGCCTGTGGATGTCTGACTGAGAGAAATGGCCAGTTGTCCCCGGTACTGCTGCCTCCTATGCAGCAAACCTGCAGCGACACTGGTAATGAGGAAACAAATGACCAGGATTCTGGGTCTCTGTGGTGAATCCTGCCCTTGTCCAATTGTTTGCCTGTGAAATATGCCTAGACGAGATCAGGCAACAAGACACTGGATTATTTGGTGAATTTGGCTTAACCACTGCAGAGCTGTGCTGGGTGGCCTCACTCCTAGGGGCTCCTGGTCTCACTGGGAGGACAGACCCAAGGCACTTCCTTTTTACTCCCCCAGACCAGCTGGTTCCAAGACCAGTTTTTCTTAGAGAAACTTGAATGCATTTAAAGCTGTAAATGCTCAGGCCCCATCTGCAGGCTTCATACATTTAATTCTTGACGCGGCCTGGAAAGTGTTAGTGCCCTGAGGTGATAGTGATGCAGCTAATTGGCTAAGAGGCACTGTCCTGTGGCTCCAGATCCAATGTGCTTTTCAAGGGGCATGGTGACAGGAAAGAAGGCTCTTTGCAAGAAGGTGCTCAGCCCCTACTATGTTGAAGAAGAGTTTATGGGAGCATCAGGACTATTGCTGTAGACATGTGAAGGGAAGGAGAGGAAGGAGTCAGAGGGAGAAGTGTGCCTGGGTCCTTTCTCCACCTGGAACAGCCGGGGCCTGGCTCAAACCATGGGGTTGCAGGCATCGGGGGCACCAAGAGTTATCACCTGGTGACGTCTCTAACATGGGATGGATGCTGGGATGCAGCACTAGGCAAGGTAAAGTGATCCTACCTGTGTGGGGCAGAGGCGCTGAGTTGGCGAGGTCCCCTGAGAATGAACAGAAGAGGGGCAGAATGAAAGAGGAGGAGGAGGTTCACAGAGCTTCATGCTGCTGGCCAGTGCTGCCTGTTTCTCATTTCCGTCAGGAAGCTAGAACACATCTTGAACTATATGACACCAGCTGATAGTATATGCAGTGCCCTTTATTATTAGACAATCTGGATTGTAAACCCAGCTATGTCCCTTTATTATTTTGTGTGTGTGTGAGTGCATTGACTGCATGTATGTAAGTGCACCTGTGTCATTCAATGCCCAAGGGGGACAGAAACAGGTGACAGATCCCATGGACCTGGAGTTATAGATGGTTGTTAGCCCCCATGAGAGTACTGGGAATTGAACCTGGGTCCTCTGCAATAGCAGCCACTGTTCTTAACTGCTGAGCCATCTCTAGCCAGCTATCTAACCCCTTATTTAGGAATACCTTACAACCATCTCTTTAAGAAGTTCAAACAGGATGGTGGTGTGGGAAAGGAAAAGAACTGTTTGTCACCACTTGGTAGGAACAGACAACTATCTGGACATGTTTAGAATACGTCTTTAAATTCCTTCTCAACACAAAATCTCTCAGAAGTTGCATCATGATGTCTAACTCTATCAGCAAAGGACAATTTACATTATTCTTTCTCTGTATGGTTGGGAATTGGGATTCGGCAGAACATTCTAATTTATCCTAAGCTTGGTGACACTGAGCTGCACGACTTTGAGGAGCTATGAGCAGTTCAAGTCTCCTTGGAAAATTCTTTCAGATAGTAATTTTGTAAACTAGTTGTATAAGTGAGTGGGTTTTTTTTTTTTAAACTAAAATGAGTAATTTTCATGTTAATCAGATTTTTTTTTCTCCTGGGATGGGAATCAAACATAGTCTCATACAAGCTAGGCAAACAGCCTACCACGAAACCCCACCCCCAACCCCATAAGAATTTATTTTTATTTATTTTGGTTTATTGAGTCAGGGTCTCCCTGTAGCCACAGCTAGCCTGGAACCTGCTATGTAGACCAGGCTGGCCTCAATCTCAAATCTGTCTCTACAAAAATATGCTTTTCTTCAGTTCCATTTTCTATTCTCAACCATAATCCTTTGTTTTCCTGGACAGCAGTAATTCATATCAAACTGCTTAAATATGTTTTAGAGTTAATCCTGTGTATGATCACAAATGCAAAGACATACAGTCTGATTATCTGGATAGTTCTTAATGGGTTTTCTGAACCTCTGCAACCTTAATGGACAGTGAAGGAAATCATGGAAATATCCCTTAAATAAAAATTTATTCACTTTAACAACAACAAATTTGGAAAACCTGGGAACACATACTGTTTAGTTTGGTTTTTCTTTCTCAAGATGTACCACCCCGCTAGAAAATGAACAGAAAACTTAACAGTATATATATATATATATATATATATATTCTTTTTGAGACAGGGTCTTCCTGTAACCCCAGCTGGCCTGGAACTATGTAGACCAGGCTTTCCCAGACTCACAGAGATCTGCCTGCCTCTGCCTCCCAAGTGCTGGGATTAAAGGCTTGCACCACCACGCCTTGCTCTTGCAAAAATATTTTACCAGAATACCTTTCAAATAGAATGTAGCTTTGGTAGTTCTTTCTTCAATGAGCTCCATGAGCAAATGTTTATGTGCCCCCGCCCCGCCCCCCGCAAAGAATTTAGTATCTCAGATGAAATGTGTCTGATTTTTTTCCATATTTACCTATTTGTGTGTGTTTAGGGGTGTGTGTAAAGAACCTGTACATGTGCCACAGCATGTGTATAGGTCAGGACAATTTAGAGGAGTTGGTTTTCTCCTTCTATCGTGTAGGTTCTGGGCATCAAACCAAGGTGGTCAGGCTTGGTAGCAAGCTCATTTACCTGCTAAACCAGCTCACTGGTCCCCAATGTAACATTATTGGAAAGTTTTCGATTTTCTTAATGTACAATGATGACAAATTATGAATCTCTGCTTCATTCAACGAAGGTACTCTAAGGTGCTTAATCAACCTTTATACAGTTAAAGTAGTTGGAAATAAGTGATTTCCCATTGTTTACGAATTTATCAAGTATCTGCCAGGTGTGGTTGCACATGTCTTTGATCCCAGGACTTGGGAGGGAGGCAGAGGCAGGTGGATCTTAGTGTTGTTGGAGGACAGCCTGGTCTACAGTGAGTGATCCTGTCTGTGGGGGGGAAAAAAAGAATTTTTAAAAAGAATTTAACAAGTGAAAAAAAATCAACAAGTATCAAAGATAAAGAAACAGAATACTTTATTATAAAACTTATAAAATAATTAAATATTACACATATATTTTGACTTTTCTCTATAATCCATGTATTCTTTTATTCAACATTTTCCCTCAGAATTAATATCACTTACCCAGAGAAGCGAGTGAAAACACAAAAGAATAGACTATTAATAAATTAACTCTTTTCCATAAAATAATAAAATGATAATTATATAAAGACACACATAATTTGCCACTTTTTAGAGGGAAACAGAGTGTTAGTATGGTACACTTTTTTTCCTCATAGCCAAATGGTGTCTGAAGCCCAAGCCAAGGTTAAAAGAAACTCTTAATCTTTCCTTCCTTGGGATTCAAGAACTGATGGTTTCAATTGGGATGGGAACAAAGAATGTTGCTAAATTTAACAGACTGCTGTCTAGTTGGTTATGCTGAGCTGGCAAACCCCTATTTGAACTGAGACTTTGTGAAGCAGTAAAATTGAGTTACATTCATCAAAGAAGTTGGGGGGGGGATAGAATAGCGCTATATAAATATGTCCTCTAGAACCACTTCTCATGACTGTGTCCTTGTGTAACTTTTTTTTTAAGTGTCGTTGGTTTTGGCAAAAGAGTGTGGTGTTTTTCCAATTGAGAACAGTTTTAAGCTTGTTAATGCCATCAACAGCTGGCTCCCAGTGACTGAAATTTTCACTTGAGACACTGGAATATTCATGGAGGAGCCTTGGCTATTGTGATATATTAATATTAAAGTAGCAAGACAAATGGATTTTTCTATGGTTTTATTTTTCCTTAACTAAGTCATAGGGAAAATTGAAACTTGTCAGCTGGTAGGCGAAAGCCTCAAGCAGCCTTTAATTTTCTAAGCACTTTCATAATATGGATTGAACATTATGAATGATGGGAACTCCCTTCAAACATGCTATTTTGCCACTTAGTGACTATTTTTTTTTAACACCAGAATGAGCATGTCACCAAGTTTCATTTTCAAATAGCTGGCACCAGCCTCCCACATTCTCATTCAGTAAGCACCAAAAGTTATGAGGTTGATGTCACGTGAAAAACATCAATATTTCAGGTTCCCCCCCAAGTGTGAATTTTAATTACATGGAGATCTTAAATAGTCTGCGTTGCCCTGTTTCCAGAATGTTGTTTGAAATACTTTTCAAGTTGTTAATGTCAGTTTTGGAGACTCTTTACAAGCAGAAGATACTTGAAACAAAATAATACACACACAGTAATTAAAAACATGAAGCTTGTCAGTCCAGCAGCAAGCCTCCATGTGAGCACCGTTTGACACTGGATGAAACTCTAGGCTTGGCTGTTCACAGGGTTGGGTGATACTGTGAATTCCAAGCAACCATTTGCAAAGCGTTCCATCCACATATTCGATGGCTCCAAGTCCTCAGTCTCTAACCCGAAGCCTTAAAGGACCTTTTGAGAACAGATGTCTTTGCCATTGAATCCTTTGAAGTTTAAGGGTATGTGCACGGGGAGGAGGGGAGGATTCCCATCCCAAAGTTGATATAGTTCTCACTTTGTCAGAATGAAAACGTGGTATCTTTCAGTGTGATCCATCACATCTTTCAGATGACAGTGCAAATCAAAGGTTATTTGTTTTTTTTTAAAGTCAGATTTGTCATTTCCTCTTGTTGTCAGGTCCTTCAGAGTACCACGTGCTACCAGGGATCAGATAAGGAGTCTGGTGCCCATCTGCCCATTCTTCAAACCCTGCAGCAGCTCCTTAGTGGTTTGCAGTCCTGATAAAAAGGCCTGGAGATGAACGGGTAAGCCGTTGGTCTGAAGCGGTGGGGGAGGCCCTGGGATCACTGCTTCCTTGTGCATGATCTGCAGCACTGAGTGCCATAAAACTTGTGGTTGCAGACGCTGTGCCGAGGGACCAGATGGCACCAGCTGAAGAGATCAACACAGGATGGATCCTCTGCAAAGACAGAATGCAGGTAGCATGTCAGCTGGGATTATGGACTGTAAGATGAGGGAGGGCCTACAGAGCTAAGATCCTGGGCCCACCTGCCTTTGTCCCTCTGGGTTCTACCCATGATGCATCAGGGCTTTGTCAGAGCAGGATTAGGATTAGCCAAAAGGAACTGTGTCCATTAACAAAACTGAAATTGGGGGATGTTAGAAAAGGAGTAATATCTAATAGATTACATCTGATTGTCTGCATAGAACCTGGAATTAACATTGACTTGAGGGCCCATGGAAAGCATCCTGAAGAGCTCATTAGGTTGGAGCTCTTATAACTCATTGCTTCTGATTTAGAAATTCATTTGGGTATGGGGGGATACAGTCCCTCCCTCCCCTCATGTTCTTCTGAACTCTTTTTAAAAGTGTTTTATCTTTATTTTATGCATATGAGCATGTTGCCTACATGTGCATAAGTATACCCATGTCAGTCAGCAGAGGGTGTTGGATTCCCCCAGAACTGGAGTTATGAATGGTTGTTAGCCACCATGTAGGTGCTGGGAACCTTACCCAGGTCCTCTGCAAGAGCAGCCGCTGCTCTTAACTGCTAAGTCATCACTCCAGCCCTTGAACTCTCTATGTAGCTAAGGGCTAGGCCTTAAAGTCCTAAGCCTCCCTTCTCTACCTCCTGAGTGCCTGGGTTTATGTGATCCTGGGGATTTAACCTAGAGCTTCCTGTGTGCTAGCCAAGCACTCTATCAATTGAGCCACATCCACAGCCCAGTAATTCTGCATTTCTAACTGACCCTGGGGAGGTTGTTGCTGGTGTGCTTAAGGTATATTGGGAGTTGGGACATTTGGATTTGAGGCCCAGATCTTATATTCTGTATAGGTATAAACACATCTTGCCAGTTTGCAGACAGGTGAATCAGTTCCTGCCTTTTCCAATTCTGTCAGCTATTCACGATGACATGTGTGATTAGCCACTGGAAATAGGACATTGTACATCTGGAATTCTTATAGCCTTAAGGGATATACAATGCATGTGAAATAGTACATAAAACATGATTTAGGAGGTAAGACTCATGATTTTACTATATTTTAAGGTGGATTTTTGACTTCAAAAATAGTTACTATCTATCCAGACCTGGTGGAACATGCCTTGTAATTCTAGTACTGTCCAAGGCTCTCTTTGGCTTGGGAATTTGAAGTCAGTCTGAGCAACATGAGTGCCCCGTCCCCCCAAGAAAAAAAACCACCACCACTATGTGCATGTCTATTCTATACTCCATACATGCATATTTTCTACAGAATACACGAGTGAAATATTCTCATTCCTAACTGGAATTCTTTTCTTTTCCCATCTAATCTTTACCTCAAAACTTTCCCCATCACTTCATTCTCTAGGATCTGGTTCTCAATGCCCTCAGGAAGGAACCTCACATTCCTCTCTCCCCCAATCCAGTCGTAGCCCTTTACTGATCCTTGATGTACGGGTGTGCTCTGGCTTCCATTTTTCCCTTTCCCCCTTCGCCCAGTCGGTAAATGAGCCTTCCCCTTGGCTCCCAGGAAATGCTCCTTGAGTTTACCCACACATCACACTATGTAGTTGCTTATTTTCTGTCTGTCCCCTAGAAATCCAATTCTTACAGAGTTGGGACTTTGTCTGCTTTCTTCATTGGTTTGTTCCCAGTACTTAATATAGGGTCAACCACAAAGTAGTTGCTAAATAAATCATTTTAAAATCAACACCATCACCACTCCGAACTGGCTTCTGCATCATATCCCTTCCTACATGCATCAAAACTCAGACTGAACAATGAGTTCTACATTGCAAAAGAGGATTTATTTTCACACCTGTCTTTAAGTCTTGTCCTCTGGTTCAAAAAATACATCCGCACATGCTATTATTATTATTTGAAAAAATGTAACCATCAAGGTTAAAATAAGCAAGTTAAACCATATGAACTATATTTTCTAATAACTTTTGGATATATTTTTTTGAAAGTGATGCCTAGTACATTTGCTGGCAGGTTTGGTAAAGGATGCAAGAGGAAAAACAATGACAAGAGGAATTTTGGCATAGGTATATGGAAGAGTTGAAGTCCTTATCCCTGAAGGGGGCATCTCTACAGGTCTGGGATTGGACACCAGAAGATTGGTGTGAGATATACTAGGTTAGACACACAAGCCAGACTTTAAAATGAAGACCCAGCTAACCTCAATTTGCATAATATATACACATATATTTCTTCAAATTCAATAATTGCTGATTCCCCCAATCAATGTTCCTGGATCAGCTTCTTTTTACATTCTAGATGATTCTGTGGATGCAATGGAAGGGAAGACCTAGAGGATAGACATAGGCCACTGGAAGTATGGCCCAAACTTCACTGTCATTTTCTTTTTTGGTCTTGATACTAGGTCTTGATAAAGACTCCAGGTTGGCTTTGAACTTGTGGCCATGCTTCTGCAATACCTTGCCAAACCACACTACTGTGTCAACACTTATCTCTCTTGAGAAAATGGAGTTTCAACAGGAACCTGTAGCTGGGCCCTCGTGTTTCACAAAGCAAGCCAGGAGGCAGAGGTGAGGCATGCTGGTATGCCTGACATGTATGTACCCTGTTTTCTTGTGTGTGATTATAAGAATGGTTATGAAGTGCTAGTTATTTCAGTCTATGAAAATGGAGCATCTGTCAGTACCTTGGTCACTGCATGCAGCTAATCTTCACATGCCACCCAGCGTCCAACCTCTCCTTACTCTAGTGGTAGGCATTCATGTCTCTCATCAGATGGCCTCAGCCATCTCACAACCTCCTCCAGGCAACCCCCATCCTCCAGGCAACCCCCATCCTCACTGTCACCACTCAGGATCATAGAGCAGGCCCAGAGCTCTCCATCTTGCACAGAGTTAAACCTGATGCCTTTATGCTGCCTGACAGGCCCCTGTACCCCTTTTAGATGATGCCTACCCGGTCCTCTCCTCCTTCCTCCTATTCTAAGCATCTTGCTATTCCTTAATTAGATTTGTATATTTCTGTATATGGCCAACAAAATATTTGCCTGTTGGGCTTGTATATACAGGACTGTCAATCCTAGCTACTCGAGAAGCTGAAGCAGGGTAATCCAAACTACAGGGTCTGCTGAAGTAACTTAGTGAGACTGTCTCTCAATGAGAGCTGGGGATGTAACACAGTGGCAGTCCATTGGCCTGGCAGGTACGAGGCCCTTGGTTCAATACCCAGTACCATCACATACCCCTCCAATTGTCTTTACTCTTTAGAGTCTTGGCACCATTAAGAGGCACCTAGAGTAGCCCCCACCTCTTTTAATCAGTCTTGCTTCTGACACACTTCCGTTACTTTGACATGGCAGAACTACCCACCATCATACTGCCTGGAGCTCTCCACTATCTACATTTCTTCCTCAAGGCACTGAGCTCCTTGGAACTTAAGGATAGGCCCTTTCCTTACTGTGCCCCTAAAGGAGAGCCCTGGGGATACATGGTGGGTGCCTTGTGGCTTTGATTTGAATAGAGGACTTTACCACACTGTACATACTGGTCTTGGATTTAATGCATACTTAGAATATGCTGTGAGTCAGATGAGTGTCAGGCACTGAGAACAAAAAAACTGTCTTCTCCCTCACATTCTCACCCGGGAGATGCTCCCAGGACTGACCAAAGTGCTGAGGGGCTTCATTTTGCTTCTCCACTGAACTTTGTATATGTGGAATCCTTGGTGGTGGTCTGATAGAGGTAGACAGGAGGAGGAGGTCTGGGAGCATACAGCACAGTGCTCTAATACACACATCTTCAGTGTCATTTCAATACTGACTAGAGATGATCGACTTTTCAGCAATTGCTACATTATGCTTTTGCTTGTCATTGCTACATTATGCTTTTGCTTGTCTTTGGAAGGTTTCAGATAACATAGAAGTGGGGTGGGGGGAAACTGAGGCCCAGAGCCAAGCAGCAGATCAATGGTAACTCGAATGGGAAGTGAGATGGACAGGGGAGAGGAAGGGAGTAGCAGTCCCAAGTCTGACTCGCCACAAATTAGAAAAAGTAGGCTAGGAGACTGGATCGTCTTAGAAAACCTGTGTTAAAGATTCCTTAGCGTAATAATATCTGGTGAGCCTGAAAAATACTTTCTGGTGCTTGTCAGATTCCTTTAAAATGAGTTGGGCTTGTAAAGCCTAGTCGTGAATTACCCATCAGTACCCACTGCCCTGTACTTGAACTGGCTAGGAAAACATTTAAGGTGTGGTCATAAGACAACATATAGTCATTTAAATAGATTGTAATTTATCTGTCTTGTCAACTAATGTGAGCTCCCTTGTTTTTTTTTCTTTGCAACAGGGTCTCCCTGAAGCCCCAACTGGCTGGAATTCACTATAGATGAAGCTTGCCTTGATCTCGCAGAGATCTGCCTCCAGAGTGCTGGGATCGTGCTACCATACCCGGCTCTTACTGTAACTTTTGTTCATTGTTTTTTAAAACTCTATTTTATGGGCTGGAGAGCTGGTGTAGCCATAAAGGCTCAGGCTCATAACCAAAAAAGACAAAAACTTATTTTTATTTTATGTGTATGTGAGTAGTGCATGTATTTAAGTGCATCACGTGTGTACAATGCTTGCAGAGGCTAGTATAGGGCATCAGATCTCCTGGAACTAGAGTTACAGATGGTTGTTAACTGCCATGTAGGTGCTGGGAATTGAACCTGGGTCCTCTGCAAGAGCAGCCAGTGCACTTAACTCTTGAGCTATCTCTCCAGTCCTCATTTTTATATTAACATATAACAAATAATTTTTTTTGAGAAGGGCCCATGTAGCTCAGGTTGGCCTTGAACTCACTATGTAGCCAAGTGAGTTCTACCTCACTTGTAATCTTCCTGCCTTCCCCCTCCCAAATGCTGGGATTATAGGCATGCCCTGTGCCCAGTTTTATGCAGTGCTGGGAATCAAACTTAGGGATTCCTTCATGCTAGGCAAGCACGCAATCCACAAACAGAGCCATATCTTTAAAAAAATCAAAGAGGCTGGCAAGATGACCATTTCCCAAGAATAAGTGGCTGAAAAGCCTTATGGGATGAAAGTCTGTGTTCAGACACATGTATAGAAAATTTTGAGAGTATCTACCCCAGATTTGCACTTTGTACAAACCTAAGAACAGGGTCCCATAGATGTCGATGGGAACAAAGTGTCTAGAATCATGCAACACACAAGTGACACAACCAAATATGATGAGCTTTGGAAAAGCTTTCTAAAAAACTGGTAAAATTGATAGAGATGAGATCCTTTACCTCTCTTTTCAGGAGCTGGACAGAAGTTCGTGTTACAGGCTCGGAGCGCTGGCGGCTTCTGTTGGAGCAGACAACTTGAAGAAGGCCGGCCTTGCTGCATACAGTGGACAGAGCGGGTCTGAACCCCTCCCCCACAGGTTACTGTGCACTGCCAAGGAGGGAAAGAGAAGATGTCAGAGATGCTCAGCCAGATGGTGTCCTCTCTGAGGTCAGTAACATTAAACAGAAGCAATCTCCAAGTTCATGGCCAAGGTGCCTGCCAGTGAAACACATGGTCTGGAGCCAGGCCTATTTGCTTTCAGTCCCAGTCCATCCTGGTGTGCATGAGATGTTTGACCTATCAGGTCTTAGGTAAGTCCTGTCTTACCCAACAATATATTTTATGTGGCTCATAAAAGAAAAGAGACCGGCTTTAGAAGTAGCCTTAAGAACAGAGACACAAACCCAGACATGGCTAGGGTTCATGGCTACAAGAATTCCAGGCAATCTCTGCCTGGAGGCAGATGAGGATAGTTTTAAACTAGGACAGAAAAGGACAAAATGGTCAGAGATATTTTAGAATGGTGCTTTGACAGATTCCATGATGGCACAGGGTACTTGCTACTTTCTAAACACCTTTGATTCCACTGTCCAATTAAAAATACAGAAGGTTGGGGCTGGAGAGAGGGCTCAGCAGTTGAGAGCACTGGCTGCCCTTGCAGAGGACCCAGGTTAAGTTCCCAGCACCCACATGGTGGTTAACAACTGTCCATAACTCCAGCTTCAGTGAATCTGATGCCCTCTTTTGGCCCCTGTAGGCATTGCACTCACATGGTACACTTACATACATGCAGGCGCATAAAAACATTTAAAAAATACTTTTAGTGTATGAGTGTGGATGAATATGATCAAAGTATGTGACTGACCCATGTGAAAATCTTTATAGTCATTGTACATAGTAATGGGTTTCATACCAATAAAAAGAATTTATAAATGTTAAATTATAAAACTTAAACAAGAAACACGTGTGTGTACATATAACACATATATGGTGTTATGCCTAGTCAATTAGAAGTATTCGAGCACACCCAGTTTCCTCTCATTCATACTTAGTTTCAGGTTCTCCAGTGCCTACTTCTATATATACACAGGCACCACCAGGGCCCGTGTTTAAGGGTGAGGTGAGTAGTTTCCCTCTGATCAGTAAGTTCTGTGAACCAGATATCATCTGCTGTAACCATGTCCCAAGGATCTCAACATACCCTTAGTTTCCTGCACCTGCCCTGTTCTGAGAGAGCCTCATTTACCAATCCTGGACCACTGTGATTAGTTTCAACCAAATGTTCCCAGAAAAACACGTCACTTGGTGAGTTTAAAACTTGGGTGGCCAACTATTCTAATACTTAACCTTTCTCATGCATGAAATTGGGCCACTAATGATTACTACAGGGTGGATGCAAGGCTGAGGAGAGACAGTGTGTGCTAAGGGGGGTTAATCTGAAGTGGGGATTTAAAAGCAGCAGCAGCAGCTAATGTGGCAGGCCAGGTGACAGGACCAGTACTTTATAGTCATTGCTTCATTCCTCCCATTCTTCTAGGTGTAAAAACCAAGGTTAACAGATTGCATAACCTGGCCAGGTTCACACAAGGGTGGAACTGACCCAGAAATGCAAACCCCTTTCTGCTGATGAACTAGGAACAGTGGTTGGCAGGCTGCCTCCTTTGTTGCATCTCACCTGAACATCAGGCTCCTGAATCTGTAGGCACCTACCTGTTGCCATGGTGACGAATACCATCCAGCTGCCATGCTGTATACTGGGCAAGCCCTTTGGGTGCAGGCCTCTTCCAGTTCCAGGTTTGGTTTCTTAATATTGCGGCATCTTCGCTCTGGGAAGGTTACCAGTTTCCCCTGCAAGGTCTTCTCACTGCACTTCAGTTCTCTCTTCCTCACACCCACACCACAGGTTGTGGAACACTAGGAGCCAAGAACAGTGGTATAGGCATGCAAAGCTCCAGTCAAAATCTGCTGAGATGTCCACACAAAGTCAGCCCTACATCCTTGAGGGACTTGAGGACACAGCAGCTAGGTCCTCCTTGTTTTACAGGTAAGGAAACCAAAGGGCAGAACATTGCAATGACCTCCCTCGAGTCATAGAGCTCAAAGAGCGATCCCTTGTTCAGAGACTAGAGTTGCCATTCAGATGTGAGATCCAGGCCATTGATTAACTTTGTCAAGGCCTCATACATCATCCTGTAATAGTTTAAAATACTCTTTTTTTCATTGGCCTCCATTGCTCTTGGTAAAAGATCAGAGCTGAGCATGTGTTTCAATGTCTGGGTCTCCTGCAGCCACTCTGAGTGGAGAGTTTGACTCAAGGAAAGAAAATTATTAGGACAGAACCACTGTCAAATAATTCCCCTTTATTTTTACCCCTCCTTCCCATTGGTTAGATATAACTTAATCCTGGGGAGGAGGAGAAAAGAGAGTATCTTAAACTATTTAATATATAAGGGCCTGAAAGAAATAAATGATGATTATATCAATACATCAATATTAATATTGTGAACTATGAGGGAGCTATGTTAGCTCCATTGTAAAGAAGAAAGGGAGGCCAGCCCAAAGTTGCCCTCACAGTAACTACTGATAGCTGATTTCAAATAGGGCATGTTTTTCATTTTCTAATAGCATCTTTTTAAAAAAAAATGGGTGAAGAGGAGAGGGACAGCCATATTGTTGTATCTCATTCCTGACATGGGTCAGAGCTTATGACATTGCATAAAAGTGCACTGATGGAATAGTGTGTGGCTAACAGGATAGATGATAGACACTGCCTGTGGTTTGTTGAAATTCATTGTTAAGTTCTCCAGATATAGAATGAGGTGGAGCCTATATCTGTAAGTATTTCCAGAAGGGTTTAACTGAGGTAGGATAACCTACTCCTACCTCATTTATAAGCTGAATAAAAGGAAATATGGCATTGAGTACCAACCTTCATCTCTCTCTGCTTCCTGATTGTGAACACAATGTTACCAGCTGCCTTAGTCACCCCCAAACTGTGAGCCAAAATAAACCCTCCCTCAAGTTGCCTCTGCCAAGTAATTTATCACAGTCATGAGAAAAGTAACATATCACCCAACTATGACTACTTCTCTCCTCTTTTTTGGTATTATCTTCCTTACCAGACCATAATCTCCTTCAGAGTAAGAGACCCCATTTGTTACTAGTGTGTACTCTAGACACTGGATATAGAGCTCGTTCTAAATTCAACCATGAGTCCCAAGCCAGAGATCAAGAGGGCATCTTCTTTTCCTACCCCCATAAATGCTTAAAGGTACCAACCACCTCTTCAAGGACTTCTCTCTACTCTTGAAACCTTTTAACCTTTTGTCTTCGTTACTGTACTACCCACTCAAGGGCCTTCCTTGCTTTGCAACAGTTACACTTCGTTTAAAATCGCAGTCTGCTCCTCCAGGAAAATGTTTCCCCTTGTTGCCTACAACATAGGATTCATCTCTACTGGGCTGTTGCACCACACCACTGGCTTTACTGAACATGCCTGTTTCCTCTCCCATGGGAAAGGGCATATCCATCAAGGACAGCTTACCTGCGAGATTCCACCTCCAGCCTTTAGGCTTCTGGGATGGTATCCCCTGATCTGGATTCGTCCTACAATCAGTCCCTGGTCAGCTTTGAGCTTTCTGATATTACAGACTTTTCTATGTGTAATTTATAAGTTTTACATCTTTACTGTGGCATAGGCCTGACTAGTATTAAAGGTGCTTTATGAACATTTAGTGACCAGCCAGCACGTAGTAGGTACCTGGTATATACATGCAACACAAAAGAACCTTGTGGGTGCGGGTGAGTGAACTGAGTATTTATAAAAATAAGCCCCCAGTAGTGCACCTAAACACGTACCTCACTCCAGGAAGAGGTGACCCACTGTAGCCGGGTATTTTTGGGGCAACGTCCCAGCACACACCCCTCCTGTGCCTCAGGTCTGGTGCTGCTGGAGCATAGACTCTCAGAGACAGTCTTGGCTGCAGAGTTCTTACACAGAAGATCACGTCTCCTGACTCCCCGGCCACAGGTCTTGGAACACTTGGAGAAAAAAAGGGCCATTTGAGTCTCATTTCAGATTAATTTCATTTGGGTGAATACTGAGAACATATTGATGGAATGGGTGCAAAACTCTTTTAAGCATTTGAAAAAAGTATCTGGAGAAGCCTCTTGCGTTGGGATAACTCTGTCCAGAGGCCCAGGAGAGAGAACCCCATGACTAGCTATCACTTCAGCCATCCGCAGAGCCAGCAGCTGCTGTGTCCCCCAGCTGGAAGATGCACTCTGCTTGTCACCAGGCTGGGGCTGGTCTCTGCACAGGGTAGGTGGTACCAACTGGAAAGAGGGGATGACCTGTCCACTGATGGACTGTCTTTCTGTCATGAAGTGTTTGGCTAAAGGAGTGTTACTGTATCTCCATCAAGGAGAATAACAGAAGTATGTGCACATTGAATATGAACGTGGTCATCAGCACCAACAGGTAGTCTTGCTCTCCTTGGGCACGGTGCTAACTACTGGGCAGAGGACATAGCACTCATCAAAATTCCTGAATCAATTTGCATCATGCGAATCTTCACAGTGGGAATTTTGCTTTATTCTTAAGGTCTTTCTGAGAATTCTGTAAAATAGGTATGGTGAGAGATAGACTGTTTGCTATGAGAGGAGCAGCTAAAAACTTAACAAGATCACTTTAGACTTTGGCTCTACACAGGGATTTGTCCAGGAGGAGTGGACCACCTTGCTGGTCTTTGCATTCTTTTTCTCTCTGCAGGACCAAATGAGATGGGGCCTTCAGTGCCTGAGGAATCAGCTGGGCGTAGCCCTATATGGGCTCAGAAGATGAGCATATGTTCTCACTGGTCAGAGTGCACACTCTTAAGGGAGTTGATGTCATAATGAGCACACCATGACCCTAGGGACCTTTAATATATTCAAGATGATAGATTTTAGGATATAAACTGAAGCCTGTTATCACACAACCCTCTACCAGTCTTACAAGTTAATTTTTGTCATCTACTAAGAAAGACATGAGCCAGTGACTGAGTGTGATACCCAACCATGGAATAAGCCCTGAACCTTAGGCCACTCTGTCACATGGAATTTTGGAATGGCTGATCAAATCTTATTTATGTTTGCAATTCTTTTTCAGAATAGCAAAATGTTTATACTGATTGCAGAAGGAATTGATTTGTTGATGTAGCCCTTGCCTACTAGATCATGGTAACAAATTTTCATATTGATCACCAAAGTACTCAAGACATAGTCTTAGCATTCAAAAAATATATCCATGTGCAATTTGGAGCACGATTCTTGAACCAAAATACTTCCTCAGGTGCATTTGACACTCTGGTTCATGTCCACCATATATATTTGGGTAAACCAACCTTTTGAATTCTCATTTTGTAAATTATTGATTGCAAAGGAAGGTCAACTCAATACTTCATACAACTATATTTATGCCCTGTACCCATTAGTATGTTCAAAATAGTCCTCTCCAGTCCTGGCCCATCGTCCCCTAACAAATACAGTCCTAATTTGAGCAATAGCCTTTCCCTCACCTCACCTGGGGATTTGGTGCTGTGTTGCTGAACTTAGAAGCGAGAGTCTGCCAGGGGAGAACAGCCTCTAAAGGGAAGCATGGCGGACCTGGGGCCACTGGCTGCTAAGTCGCATCATTACAACATCTACCTGCACTTGACAAAGTATGGTGCTGGTGCTGAAGGGCTGCTAAGTCACATCATTACAACATCTACCTGCACTTGACAAAGTATGGTGCTGGTGCTGAAGGTAGGAAAACCCTGACATTTATCTTGTGTCATGTGCTCTGGAGAATATTTTCCTCTACGCTTTAGGTGCAAGAGGGCCTATTCCCCTCCATGTTATCTCCTGGGATAAGCCTAGTCTCAGTGGAGACCCTTAGCCCTGCAGTCCACGCGGGAGTTGTGCATGACAGGTCATTATACATGTCTTCAGGCACACAATGCTGTGCTGGGTGACAACCACACACTTCAAGCATATCTCCTCTATATACTCTGAGCTCTGCATCTCTACCACTGAAGCATAAGTGAATTCTTTTTCCTGTCTTGTTCTTTTATTTCTGTGGGTGCACATGTGTGGATGTTGGATAAATGGCAGGAGTCGGTTTTCTTCCCTTCTACCACACCAGGGATGGTTCAGGTGGTTGGCCTTGGTGGCCGTCACCCTTACCTGTGGACCCATCCATCTCATTCTTTGCATCTTTCCACTTTCTCTGGAGGGTTCAGCTCTACACGCGAATCCCTCTTGAGCTGCATTCACTAGTCTCTCCTACCTGATCTCTGCACAAAGAAGTTCTAGACTGGGAAGGGGTTGCTGAAGCTCTGGTAGAGGGGATCCAAAACTTCAGGTTGTGTAAAAATCACTAAAGGCACTGGCAGGAATGAAGGCTGCCAGGCACCCCTCAGTGTACGCCAGTGTGGCTCTTGGAAAGATGCACACAGCTAACAGTCTCTTGGGGCGAAACCTGCAGCTTTGGTTTTGCATGCAGATCAACACCAGTGCTTACAAATCTATCCCTGTTACCTGAGACCAGGGCCCCAGGCTCCATTCTGGAGGGCAGTCATGGCTGTTGCAGACTTGAACCTGAGTGGGTGTGCTCACTGGGCAGAAAGAATGCAGCACAGCCTCCTCTTTCTGGAAGGGCTTCTTCTGCACACACTGTATCTTCCGGCTTTGCTGACCCCCAGCACATGACTTGCTACATGCACTCCATTCGCCTGGCATCCAGCTTTCAGGGAAAAGCAAAATTACTTTCCTTGAAGTCAAGGTTTTGTTCTCAAGCAGCCACTGTGAATGATTAACTGTGTAATAAAAGCCTGAGATCCACTTTACAACCAATGAGCGCATCCATACCAACTGTCCTGTGGTGGACGTGGAAGCACAAACTCCTGTAGTCCAGATATAAAGAGACATATTTGATCACCATACACTTTTGCCAAAAACACATTCCTGAGGCTGCTCAGCAGTTAAGAGCATTGGTTGCAGCAGAGGTCTGGGGTCCAGTTCCCAGCACCCACATGGCAGCTAAAAACCATAACTCCAGTTCCAGGGGATCCAACGTCCTTTTCTGACCTCCACGGGCATTGCATGTACATACATGCAAGCAAAACACTCATACACATTAAAAACATTAAAAATAAAAAACACATTTCTGCCTTATGCACAGAAAGAAATACCTTTTAGTACCCGAAAAATGCATCCAGCCAAATTGGTTGGGATCTTAACCATGTGTCAGACTTTGAGAAGCATTGGGGTTGGAGAGATTAATGTAGCTACAGCCCTTCCATACAGAAGTGAAAAGGCTATGAGAATAGAGGTGGTGCTCTCTGAAGAGTGCGGGAACCCAGACTAACCCAAACTATACCAAGCCCAGTGGAAGAAAACCAAGGTGACAACAGGCGGGTGTCTGTGCAGGAGAGGAGACGTGTACTCAGAGAAGCTGCAGCAGCCATTTCTAAGTGGATGGTTTTCTGGTTAATCTTAAAATTTACTGATGTATTAGAGCTCTAACCTCATGCTATTTATTTGAAGGTTGCCAGACCAGTTTTTTGGAACTGTCCAAGACTTGGTGCATAGTTGACGTGTCAATCATTGGAAACTCTAACTTAAGAACTACTTCTGACTGAAATTACATGAGTTGCAGGGAGACCACCAGATCTGACTGTGCACATTTGACTCATAGCTGCAATGCCTAAAGCTGATCTTAGATTATGAATATGCTAAGTACTGATCATTTTAGAAAATGAAACCCAAGAGTAAGACCCAGCATGCTTTGGTGAGACCTCTGAAATTTCATTTTTCTTAGTCTTACAATTTTTTTCCTCTCATTCCCTCCATGAGCCTGATGATATGTGAAATTAAGGACTTTTAGTCTAGAGAATTAAGCATCCAGGAGTGTTAGGAGTATGCGTGTTTTTGCAAACATTGCACAATCCATACTATCCTACATAGGCAAGGAAAATGTAGCAAGTAAAATAATTCTTTGTGTTTATACAATTATTTGTACTATATAAGATCTTCAGAAAACCACATGGCACTATTGTAACCTTTACTGCTCTCTGACGCCTAACATTTTATCGTGTGTAGCCCAATACACCCATGGCTTGCACTCTTCCTGTGGATGATTTTCATTGGTGGTGGGAGCCATACGCTGTCACCTCGTGACTTCAGTTCTCAGCTCAGGGTCTGGCACATAGCAAGTACTTAAACATCACTGATACATGTAAAGGCAAAAAGAGTTAACTTAGATAATTCTTTGTCCTTATAGTTCTGAGAGTCTAGACCCTCCTTTCTAGTCTGCTCTTGGGGAAGAGTCCCTGCAAGACTCCAGTGTCCTATGGCAAATACTGACACTGATAAGGGAGGAGAACACAGGAAGAAAGCACAGGATCCTGCCGAGGTTCCTGCTCTGCTTCTATAAAGCAAGTTGGTTCTTTATGGAATATCATTTCTACACATGCTTGTCAGGGAAGTGGTAGAAGTTGCAGATAACATCAGCATGTTCCTTACATAGCCATACATAGCAATAGATTCCCTTTGGTTGGATGGCATAACCAGTGATGGGAAGAAGTCCTAACATCAGAAACTATCAGCTTGCCAGTCAAGGCTTCCGATTCTATGTGTACACACAAACACACATTCATATGCACATATACAGATGAGTCCACAAGGTTCAAGAGCACTATGTGCTAATCACATGTTGGACCACTGGGGAAATTGTTAGTTCCCTATGTCTTCTGTTTTTTGAAATATTTTATGTATGAATGTATTGCTTGCATGTGGTGCAGTGCCCATGGAGGTCAGAAAAGGGTGGAGGATTACTTGAAACTGGAGTTGAAGACAGTTGTTAGCTGTCATGTGGGTGCTGGAGATTGAACCTGGGTCCTCTGGAAGAACGGCAAGTGTTCTTAACCACTGAGCAATCTCTCCAGCCTATTTCTTTTATGGTCAAGATATACTTGGTTTCATATCATAAGAGAAAACCTGGGTTGATCATTGGTCATATGAGTTGATGGGTATCTGAAAGGCCAAACAATTATGAAAAATGTACCATTAGCTTGTTAGTCTTATTGGTTTGATCTTATATTCCAAACTAAGTATGTTCTGGTTAGAACTTCCTTTGGAAATCTATCACCTTCCCTAGTCCCATAACTTTTTTTACTCTAGTTTCTCCCACAAGCCCATTATGTGAATTAAAGACAAGAGTGCTAGGTTTATGTGTACTCTTTGTAGCCCCAGCTGTCCTGGAACTCACAGAGATCTGCCTTCCTCTGCCTCCCCAGTGCTGGGATCAAAAGTGTGCCACCACGCCCGGCTAAAATAGCTTTTTATTTTATGTATATGAGTGTATTGTCTGCATGTAGGTAAGTGTACCCATGTTGTGCAATGCCTGTGGAAGACAGAAGAGGCTGTCAGATCCCTTGGAACTGGAGTTACGGACAGTTCTTAGCTGCCATGTGGGTGCTGGGATGCGAATCCGGGTCTTTTGCAAGAACAGCCAGTGTAAGAACTGAGCTCTCTCTCTAGCCCCCTATGTGTACCCTTAAAAACACTCTGGAGTTACGGACAGTTCTTAGCTGCCATGTGGGTGCTGGGATGCGAATCCAGGTCTTTTGCAAGAACAGCCAGTGTTCTTAAGAACTGAGCTCTCTCTCTAGCCCCCTATGTGTACCCTTAAAAACACCGCATAACCCATACTATCTTAGTCAAAGTATCAAATAAAATAATTCCTCATATTTATACAATTATTTGTACCTTAAAAGATCTTTAAAAACATTATGAAATTAATAATTTCAATATTTGCCTACAAAATGGTATTTTTCTACGAAATTCATGTGTGTACACACACACACACACACACACACACCTTCATTACCACAAACCCAATACCACTCATTAAAATGATCTGAAACCCTGGTGAGCACACCATTGCTTTATATAAATATATCTGGCTCAAGATGAATCACATAAGATGAGACTCAAGTTGGCTGGGAAGATTACTTAAAATTAGTCTTCAAACAATGGTGTGGCCAAAATGAGTCTGAGAGCAAATCCACCAAATGCCCCAGAGGGACCATCATCAGTGAGCGAGTCGCCAGTTGGCTTTTACCTCTGTAGCTTGTGTCTTGCTACTGTGCAATTTGCTTTTGAGGTTTCCTGGTCTGCATAATATTATGATTCTTAACTTCTTGGATGACCTACATAAAAGTTAAGCATTTAACCACATCTAAATTTAACTATTATAGGATCATATGTTAAATATCTGTTTGAAACAGTTCTGGAAAGACAGGGGTCTCTTCGAAAGTTAAAGAAAAAAAGGCTGGGGCTGTAGCTCAGTGGTTGAGCTCTGGCCTAGCATGCATGAGGACCTAGGTTCAATCCCCAGTGTGGAAAGAAACCATTGTATCCTAAACTTGCAGAGCAAAACACCTACAGCAAATACTTCAAAGTCACATAATCCAACCTCTACCTTTTTCCTCTTCTTTTAGGCATTGCACCTACTTTTGAATCGCTTTCAATTGGAAGTATGGACAGTCAGCTTCTTATTATTTCATAACAATAACAAAGGTACAAGCACAGACAGACATTTCCAGAGGACTTACTAGGGTGGGCAGGAGAAGGCGTTGCATATCTTGGGATCTGTCACTGGCTTGGTTCTTATATTGCAGAATGAGGAATTGACTTGAGTGTTTTGATCTCGTAAGCAAATGGCCTTGATGCTCATGTAGCCTAGTAAGACATTAGAAGGGACACTGTGAAATCACAGAAAATCCATTCGATTTGGTTTCCAAGCTTAATGTGGTATTCACCAGTGCTCTGATATCCTATTTAAGATACCACATCCAAATATTTTGTGAAAATAATTCCTTTGGATACAACTTCAACCCACTTGAATTCCACTTCTCCCCAAGATAACAGATTTCATACTTTAGTAATTTTAATATGTTGTTTTTTAAGTAGATAGGACCATAGAGTGAAAAATACAACTATTTAAAACAGAGAGACTATAGTCCCTTTATAAAGAGAAGCACACGCATATGTACATACAAGCCACTAGTGAATTACATGTGAAAACCTAGGATTCTATTTCACCATGAAGTATCATACACTTCTATAAGCATGCATGTATAGGCAAAATCTGAACTCTGGATATTAACTCATACCCATGAACTAGGTTCCCAGTTTAAGTGTTTAAGGATCCTCTCAGTGCCTTGATTCCAGTGTTCAAAACTTCCCATCAGAGGCACAAAAATTTTTGTGAATAATCACTTTAGCTTCTCAAATAGGATCTATTTTAAATTTTTTTTCAACATGACTTTCCTTAAAATGGAATCTGAGAAATGATGAGAATGACAATTTCTCTTGTAACGGCTGACAGCCGCACTCAAAGGGTTAAAGCAGGCTTTCTTTCTGGAGGCACGGATCTAAATTGCACTAGGAGTTCCAAAAGTTCACAATGGTCTTCTATGCATTTATCTGGACCCTTCTTGTATGTCTAGGCTACATCATGGCCTGGTAACCACAAGAAGTGGTTGCTCAAGGCAAAGGGAATTCCACAGGGTGCGACACAGCCTAGAGTCACCTGAGGAGGGTGTAAGGGATTTCCCATTATCAGAATGCCCTGTGTGCATATCTGTGAGGAACTGTTTTGATTGATAGCTGATGTACGAGTGCCACATCCACTGTGGGTGGTCCCGGACTGTCTAAGAAAGGTTAGTGAGTATGTGCCTGTGAGTGAGTGCCAGGCAAGCAGCCTTTCTCCATAATTCTGCTCAAGTTCCTGCCCTGACTTACTTCCCTCAGTGATGGACTGTAACCTGAAATCAACCCCACCCCTTTTTATAAACCTCAAGTTGCTTTTGGTCAGAATGTTTTATCACAGTGACAGAAAGGAAGCTAGAACAGTGACAGTAGAGAGTGCGGATCCTCCCTGCAGTATTGCTCATCAAAAAAGCAATATTTAGGGATTATGTCCAACACTGTCAAACACATGGGTTTTATACTGGAAAAAATAACTTACGGTATAGACCAAAATATTGGTGATTGCTGAATAAGGGGTATGGGGGTGTCCCTTCTTTATACCACATCACCTTTAAGTATTCATTAATGAAAGTTTATTACCTTTCAATTATATCTATTTGAAAACTACTTCCTTGTATGTTGTTAATGAGCATGAGCACCTAAAGACAGCCTCACACACAGGAGGCCTTTCTGTTCTGCATCTTGGCCCTGTTCCTGATTCTAAGAGACCTCATTTTACTCAGTGGAATGGGCTCAATAAGGAAGGCTACCGGCACTAGGAGTTTTTTCTTTTGTGTTTTTGAGATGGGGGTAGCACTGACTGACCTGGAACTATGTAATCAGACTGGTCTCAAACTCAGAGATTTACCTCCCTTGGCCAGCTGAGTGCTGGGATTGAAGGCATGCACCGCAACACCTGGTCACACCAGGAGTTCTAAATAATAGGAAATGAGTGCGCTCTCTCCATCCTTTGCTTTGGTTTCATGGACCCACTTAGCAGTTTTCGTTGTCTCCACAGGGACAACTGTGCAAACGATGGACTTACCTAAAAACCTGTGACATTTCTGATACCTAATGAAGGGTCTGCCTTCTGCCTGCTTCGTGGATGACAGTTCTTTCCCACATCATCCATTTCCCTCTGGAGAGCCTCCGTGGACCTTACCCCAGAGGGGTTGGAAGGCTACAGTATCCGGGTTCTTAGTTTACCTTGTACACATTCCCTCTTATTACAACGCTGCCTTCTATAATCATGTTTATGAACAAATGCATTTTTAGACTTTTTCCCACAGTTTCAGGCTTTTAAAAATATTTTCTTATGAGTGTTTTGTCTGCATGTATGTAAGTGCCATGCCCATGGAGGTCAGACAAGGGTGCCAAATTCCCCTGGAACTGGAGTTACGAACAGTTGTGAGCCACCATGTAGAAATTCGAACCCAGCTCCTCTGCAAGAGCAGCTGGTGCTCTTACCACTGAGCCATCTCTCCAGCCACTCAGGTTTTTAATTCTCGAGCCTTGGTTGTGGCTGAATTGACCTTTATAAGAATGGGTTCCTTTATAATAGGAAGCTCCCCTAATGTGCAATATTAGGGTATGTGTGTGGTATATGCCTGTGAGTGTGAATATGGGTGCACACACCCATGCCCTTTCTACACAGTATCCAGAGCAGGACATTGGCTGTTTTCCTCTCTCGTTCTCCACCCCTTACCTTGAGACAGGCTCTCTTACTGAACCGTTAGCTTGTCATTGAGATTAGGCTGCCTGGTCAGTGAGCTGTCTGGATTGACCTGTCTCTGCCTCCCTATGCTGGGATTTATAGGCACACAGCCATGCCTGGCTTTTTACACAAAGACTCGGGTCTTCAAGCTTGCCTGTGCGCTTACCTACTGAGCCATTTCCTCAGCCCCACAATGGCATCTTTTTAAAGCAATGGTTCCTGGGTAAGACGGTGCCTTAAAGTATGTAACAGTAAAGAGTCCTGGATTACAAGAACTTGTTTTAAGCAGAGATAGATGGGTACGATGGAATTAAGAAAACAATTACCTCCCCCACAGGAGACGGAGCAGTCGGACTGCACTGTGCTCCAGGTGTGGTGGTATCTTTTTGTGGTTGGCTGGGTTCCATTCATGACCTTGGGAAGCGCATACTTCCAAGAAATCCCTGGATTCTTGCCTTGCATCAGAATCTGGATAGTGTGAGATAAAAACCAGAGATCAGTATACTGACTGGACCTTGGAATTGCAGAAATCTTCCTAAACATTTTAATGATATTTGCATGTCATTTTGGTATTAAAGTTGGGCTATATCTTGTTCCCAAGATCATTTATATGGATTTAAGGTCTCTTGTGACACTATAAAATACATTCCTAGGATCATAATTGAATTAGATGGATGTTAAGGAATAAAGCATAATTCATTTTGTATAGTCACACAAACCTCAACTAAAGGTATCACCATCAATAAAGCAAATATTCATTTAAAATAATGAAGAGAGGCCAGTGCAATGACTCAGTAGGTAAAGACATTTGTCACCCAAGCCTGATGGCCTGAGTTCAATCCCTACAGTTCACATAAATGTGGAAGGAGAGAACTGAATCCACAAATGTCCTCCGTCTTTCATATGTGTGCCATGCACGCATGTGTGTATAGTAAAAAATAAAGTTTAGAAAGTTACATCATTGGGTCTCACCCTTAATTTAAAACCCAGAATGGTATACACACACAGTGCTGCTCCACAGATAACACTTGAAACTGAATTTCTATGTTTGTGGTCTATCCTGATCACAAATGAACTTATATACTCTGTTGACTAGGGAGATGTAGAAGTTCAGCACGGAAAAGCACTTCCCAAACCATAGTATATCCCATTCAGAGAGACTTGTACAGTGCAAGTGGGGGTTCCAAAAAATTTTTCAAAGTGTCTATTTACTAGGTTCAAGGCTGAGCAGGTAACAGGGCAGTCGGGGGACAGGGGATGGGACTGGACAGATGGAGAGATGGGTCAGCGTTTAAGAATGCATTCTGCTTTTGCAGAGATCCTGAGTTTGATTTCCAGCATCCTGGTTGGGTGGCTCACAACTATTTTAATTCTAGCTCAAGGGGATCTGGCAACTTGTTCTGACCTCCCCAGACACTAACACACACACAGACACACTCATACAGAGAGACACACAGAGGCACTTAAACTCTAATACAGTCAAAACTGGGGCCTGGCATTTTATATATTAGAAGAGATTCAACTTCAAAAAGGCTGTGAGATCATGCTGCTAGGCACAATGTTGCTAGAGGCATTTACCCTACTGGCAACAAGGAAGCCTGTGGTAGCATCCTAAGGACTAGTGTGGTACAGTGATGCAGCTGCAGGCTGCCCACCCAACTTTAATTGAGGTGGGACACCACCAGATGGAGGTAGACCCAGGGGTTCCTATTTTTAAGTCGCAATAGGCTGTTTTTCTTATATATGCAGTCATGCCCAGTTCTGGTGGTAAAGAATTTTCCACAAGACTCATGGGACAGGAGAAAACCAGTTATTTATTTTCACGATTGAGTCTGAAAGGGAAGAAAGGGGAATAGCTAGAGAAAGAGGATGCTCAGAAGAGTGTCTCCCCACACCAAAAACAAGGCAACAGAGAGTACTGGGCAGGAACACGTTTTGTTGCAGATTTTACTTAAAAACTCATCATGTATATGATGGTTGCACACGTTTGCTTGTTTTTTTTTAATGAAAAAAAAGTGCATTCTAGTGGTTTTGGAGGAATGTTTTGTGACACTGTATAGAAAAGTCTGGTAGAAGTCTGATAACTGCAGTGTGCCCAATAAATAAATCAGTCTTAACTTGGTACTTGAACCTTATGGGATCAAAATTTCCCCAAGTCCTAGCCTCTCTCTTTGAAAACGCTCTTTGTGATGGACCATCACCTGGAAATGTGAGCTAAATACACCACTTCTCCCCGAGTTGTGTTTTGTCAGGTATTTTATCACAGCAACAAAAATCAAACTAGGAGAGAAGGCAGTGTTGCTGCTTATTGGTATTTACCTCACTTGCTCTTTCAATTACAGCAGTGTGTCAAATGTAATGCTTTGGACTGCTGTTGTCTCCACGCAGAGATCATACGGGGGGGATAACAGAGGCACCACATGAACATGAGTTACAGTAAACGATCTGCCGTAAACTAGCCTCTGTATCTGTGAACAACTCCTAAACATTTTTAAGATGTCTCGTCTGGCTCCTGTTTGAGAGCTGGTTGGTTGGCTTTTCTCTTGCTGTGCTAAACGCCATGACCAAAAGCAACTTGGGGAGGAAAGGGTTTATATGGCTTCTACTTCAAGTCATGATTCAGCACCGAGGGAAGTCAGGGCAGGAACTGAAGGGGGAACCAATGGAGGAGAAACGCTGCTCCTTGGCCAGTGCTCAGCTAGCTTTCTTATATATCCCAGGCCCACTTGCCTAGGCGTGGTGCTGCCCATGGTGGGCAGTGGGCTGGTTCCTTGTACACCAATCATTAATCAAAAGAGTCTCTCACAGATATGGCCACAGGCTGAACTGAGCTGAGCAGTTTCTCAACCAGGGCTCCCTCTTTCCAGGTGACTCTAGGCTTGTGTCAAGTTGACAATAAAAGTTAGCTGGGCGTGGTGGCGCACACCTTTAATCCCAGCACTTGGGAGGCAGAGGGAGGCGGATCTCCCTCTCCAGGGACAACTGGAGCCAGCCTGGTCTACATAGTGAGTTCCAGGACAACTGGGGCTATAGGGAGACCCTGTCTCAAAATAAATAAATAAATAACCAGCATGTCTCACACTGCTGAATTTCATTTTCTATCACCTACTTTAGGACATTCCTAGTTTGGGTTCTCTCTCCTGAGCCTTTCAGAAATTTCCCTTTAATAGCTCATTAGCACCAAAACAGGGTATTTCTGTCTGTTAAGGTTTAAGGTGGGTCCCTTTAACACAAACCCCTTTTGTCTATTTCCTTTTCAAACAAAAATTCCTCTAAGCTTCAGCCTCTCCAGCTTCCTCTCTCACCCTGATCTTTGTAAGTCAGATGTGACTCTCCACACCACATCACTAAAGCTGTTCTTTCAAGGACAGCTTGTTGTACCCAAGTTGTCAACAGCCTACATCTTACTCTACAAATAGTTAAACACTTGCTGACTCTCTGCCTCCCCCTAGCTAAGCAGAACTCTCTTTATCCAATTTCAGTGACCTTCAATCATGCGTGTTTTTTTGTTTGGTTTTGGGGTTTTGTTGTTGTTGTTTTAGTTAATCCTATTTCCCTATCTATTTACTGTTCATAACCGCAAACTTAAATCAGACAAATTTCAAGCGAAGCATGTGTGACTGACGGGTGCACAGTTGTAGATGAAAACCCACTCTGACTTCTATATTCACCCATCCCATTAGTCACTTAGCCTCTAAATTTGACTGTTTGGAAGGTACATTCAAGTCCACCATGAAGCGTATCTTTCCTCCTGTCTTCAGAAAGGCTCGTCTTCTCTCAGATTCTCATGGGATGTCAGTCTATTGTTCCAGGGTTTTCAGGCCACCGCAGGATCTTAGAGCCACCATGGACTCTTCTTTTTCTCAGAACCTGCATGAAACAGGCCAGGCCCTGCCTCATAGCCCACCACCTCTCGTTACTGCTTCTGTCCTGGGCTAGGCACCATTGGCTCACTTCTGCCTTCCACGATCAGACAGTGGAGAGGGAAGAGGGAGATGAGAGAGAAGGTGAGGCCAGTCCACATGCAAAGGTCACTCAGACACAGTCACCCAATAGGCTAGAAGCCAAGGGCTTTGAACCCTGCAGGGGGAAACCACCTGTAACTGTGAAACTGTCACTTGACAACCTAAACCACATGACCACTTAAAGCAGCTTGCTAGGTATCATCTAGCATTATCAAAATTTTAGTTTTTACCATTTTTCCAGTTTGTTTATATGTTTATTTACATGGCCTAGGCTGGGCTTGAACTCCTGAACCTCCTGCTTCTGCCTCTTTAGTGCTGGGACTGTTTTGGTTTTGAGCCTGGGTTTGTCCTCTGTTGGGGTGACAAATATGCACCATTCACTACACCCAGATTTAATTAACAAAATATCTTGGTGAAGACCTGAGCCATAGAGTCAAAAGTTTTCCCTTGAGGTTTTCTAAGCCTCACAAAAAGACACATTTTCCACTTTCCCCATCATTGAAATAAAAATAGGAAAGGATCCTCGAAAAAGTAATTCATCTGAGCTAAAAGTAAGAGTACTGAATATTTAAAAGCAATAGGGAACTAATACATTTCCTATAAAATAATAAATAAAAGGACAAGATGACAAAAAAGGCATACTGTGTAGTAAATTTAAAAGGAAACATGCAACTTCAAGTTAGTAACTCACAAAACCCATAGTGACTATGTGTATGTTCTATTGATTTTATAGACATTGACATACAAAAACACATAATATCTATTTTTCTAACTTGACAATGAATTTAGTAAATACATAAATAAATTAAAAGCACCCTAACTTAAAAAAAAAAAAACTTCAAGGCTGGACTTTACTGTCTACATACTGATAAATTCACATGTAATTATATGAACAGTCATGGAGGCTAGAAAAAGTATGTCAACCAACACAAAGACGATTTTGGATTTTAGCACCAGTTAAGATCTTTTGAAAAATAGTACGAACTTCAACAGACACCAAGGCAAATATATAAAAGATGACTCTGTGGAATATTCTTTGCTTCTCAATAAGAGACAACGTACTCTTTGCCCTTTTTAAAAATTGATTTTCTTTTTTTTTTTTACTGTGTAATTGTGTGTGAATGCGTGCAGGTGCCCTTGGAGGCCAGAAAAGACCATGAGATCCCCTGGGGCTGGAGTTACGGGAGTTAAGTTGCCTGACCTGGGCACTGGGACCGGAACCCGGGGTCTCTGCATGAGCAGTGATGCTCTTCACAGCTGAGGCATCTCTCCCACCACATTCACCATTTTCATTTGAGGAGAGTGACCAAGATCAGAACACACAGCAGAAATGCTGTCTCTTACCATTTGTGCTTCAAACAGCTCTTCCTTTGGAAACAGACTGTCCACTTGGCCTTACAGAACCTCTGTGAATCCTGAATTTTGATAAATCAATCAATTCCACTGTTAGGACTGTCTAATTTGTGAGCACACTGCATAATGAAAACTCAAGGCCCTTTGAGT